AGCTGACAGGTAGAAGGAGAAGAGGAGGAGGATTCAGAATGCTCATAAATGGAAGGCCCCAAACTCTCATCTCTGGCATGCCATGCCATGCACTGAAATGTGGGGAAGATTTTATAGAAGCCTATATTAACTGAGGGACAAATAGCAACATTGGGTCTTCATTTCCTGGTTTCCCTAGCCTGCATTTTAAGAGACTTGGAACCTCCTTGCCTCTCAGTTAATCTACCTGCCACATGGAGAGGCAATAAATCTGACCCCAGAGGAGGGATGACAAGCAGAAATGGGCCACCTTGGAGAGCGGTGTCATGGAGAAGCCAAGCTATACAACACAACACATATCTCCAGTACCAAGCTGGTTTTTGTTGTTGTTTTGTTTTATTAAAAGTGCACACTGGTTCCCTAGGTAGATATTTCAATAATATTCATTTAACAAAGCAATTCTGAGCGGAGAGAATGGATAATGGCCTTCTGCCTGTGTTTCTGTCCCTCATCCCTTTGCAAAATCAAGAACTCTGTAAATGACCTTCATCAGTGGCAGAGAGGATAAATATCATCCCATCTTGCAAGACCAGCCCCTCAATCTCTTCTCTTAGATACCCAGATTCCAATTTAAATTGGTTTGCCTCTGAAACAATTGGTGGGGGGGGGCGGAATCACAGCTAATACCTAAACAATGTCTCTGCCACACTTCAGATCAAAATTGGAAATAAAAAGCTCCTCTAGGGGGTTGCAACAGAGATGTTTCTGCAAGGAGAAAGCAAGTGGCTATGTTGGAACAAGTCCCCTCCAGGCCCTGGCTCCCCCAATGTGCTGCTGGATTCTCACACAAATGCTGGGAAAAGTGGGTCAGGAGTAAGAGAGAAGCAAAGGAAATCTGGCTGGCCCATTCCCTCCATGTGTGTCAGGGGTAAGCAGTTTAAGTAACTTCTGTATTAAAAAAAAAAAAAAAGAAAAAGATGAAGGAAGAAAATTACTGACAATGTGATATTTCTTTAAAGAGAAGGGGAAGAATAATTCTTGTAGGAGAAGCTAGAAAGTTCTTTAAAGCCAAGCCAACTGCATTTGGACAAATTGAAGAAAATGATCCCATTACTTGCTGGGTTCACGCACTGTAACTGCGAGTCACATTTGTGAATCTTTCTCTCCTTCCCATGACTCCTTACCCCATTTCCCTTTTAAGGTCTATTCTTCATTCAAAAGATTAAACTGTCCATTTCAGTTAGGATATACATTTCCTTTTGGTTAAGGGAATTATCTGTTAGTTAACAGCTTCAGCCTGTCTTTAAAAAAAAAAAAAAAAAAAGTCCCCAGGAATCTAAGAGTGAGCTCAGAATTGCAGAAAGGGAGAGGGAGGTGGAGTCAGAGGCTTTGGGTTAGAATCCTGGCTCTGTTTCATGTGTAAAAGTCCTGTGGGCACACGAGTCATTGAACACTTCTGGGTCTCAGTTCCTTATCTGAAAAAAAATTGAGGGTTTTAGACTAGATTCCCTCTGAGGTCCCTTCATGGTACGATTCCAAAATTACAGCCCCTAGGTTACATAGCGATTCCCCTACCTTGCCCTTCTCAGTAACCCCTAAGAGCAAAGACTTAGAGCTACAAGTGACCTTATTGCTAATCTATCCCTCTGATTTTTCAGTTAAGGAAACTGAGACCCAGAGTCCTGAAATGTCTTGACCAAGGTCATACAAGTAGGTAGAAGCAGAAATAAGTTTCAGACCCAGGTCCTAATTCCAAATCTAGTGCTCTTTCTAGTGCACCTAAAGAATGTCATCTTTAACCCTGTTTGCCTCAGTTTCCTCATCTGTAAAATGAACTGGAGAAGGAAATGGCAAACCATTCCAGTATCTCTGCCAAGAAAATCCCAAATGGGGTCACAAAGAGTTGGACACAACTAACAGACAAAACCACAACACCAACAACAAACTTGCATTCTTTCTTTGCTGAAAACTTTGACTGACAGGTCCCTCCCAAACAGCCTCATAATACGAGGAGTTATGTGGACCAGCAGATCTACCACTGGTACTTGGAGTTTGGAACTTCTGCCTCACCCCAGCACTATCCGCAAGACTCTGGACAACCATTTAACCTCTCACTCAGTTTTCTCATCTATGAAATGGGGATAATAATAGCGTCTGTCTCACAGGTGTATTGTGAAGATCAAATAGGATACAAATACAGAGTGCTTTGCAAACCTCAAATGTGATGTAAATGTTGGCCATTATTAACTACCTTTTAGGTATTTGTATTTATTATATTTATGTATATACACATATACAGAATTCAGTTGTTGCTGTTCAGGGTCACCCAGCTATTAAGTGTCTGAGGCTAGATTTGAACTCATGAACATGAGTCTTCCTGACTCCAGGCCCTGCACTCTGTTAACTGCAGCACCACCTAGCTGCCCGAAGTAATAAGTGCAACCACTTTAAAAGCTCCTTGGAAGCTGGTCGATTTGCCTTTTATCTCTGTATCACCACCTCCTAGCACTGTGCCCAGCACGCAGTAGATGCTTGTCAATTTGATGGATTAAACAGGGCAGGTGGGTAGGCAGGTGTCTGAAAATCAAATAATTAAGGACCCCTCCTATTTCCACAACTGAGAACTGATGATTTGTGGCCTCAATCTAGCCTCACATCGCCCCAGAATGCTCTTGCCCAGGGTAGGCCTCTAGAAAACAAAGACAGTGTAATTCACACATTCTAGACAAATGGAGGGAGGCCTACTATCTCTTCCTGGGGGCAGGAAGCTTGGGCTTTAACCAGACCAGGAATGCTCCTTGTTAACATAAGTATCAGCAAACATGACTCCAATGAATTCACATGCCCCAGTTCTGTCCTCAGGTCTAGGATATATGTATGCTTATGAATAAAGCAATATTTTAAAAAATGCATCTGCACTAAGACACAAGGGGTTCTCACTTTCTAGGGATTTAAAAAAAAAACCAACCCTACAAATGTCACAAATTGGTATTTTCTCCACCACCTCGAGAGAGGTCCTTTATTGAGACCTTGTGAATAAAAGGCCCAACTCTGACCTCTTCTAAACATTCAGGTTATCTTTCGACTGGACGGGGTAGGACACTTGTTAGGAACAGCCACAGATGGCCAATTCCACCATACCCCAGGTATCTTAATTTCAAAGACTTGTAGGGAGACTATTAATTTACTTCTTCCTGTTTCCAGAATTGGTTATGACTGAAGATCCTCAGGCTATCACATACACACATGGAAACCTAGATTTAAATATTCAAAATATATATGCACCATGTGGACCTATGTATGCACAAATGCATATGCATATATATACAATACACATAAGCACATACGTATTTGCCACCATACACACGTATGCAGTCATATATGATACATATGTAGGTGTATGCATGCACAACACGTATTTATATACACATACATATGTATATACTTCCATGTACACAAGTCAACATTCCAATATCATGCCATTGCAGAAACAACATTGAATCTGGGGTCAGGAGATATCAGCGTAAATTCTCTTTTTGCTACTTAGTAGCAATAAGATCTTGATCAAATTACTTAATCTTACCAGGACTTAGTCTCCTTAATGACAAAGTGAGATTTCTGCAGTTTTAAATAATCAAAATAGTTAAATACAGAAATAAAATGAAGTTAAAACATTTAAAACTAACTTAAAAGGTTGGTGTGTAGATCCAATTAGATGATATGTTAAACACTTAGCAACCCTCACAATGCTGCTATGTAAATGTCAGGCATTAATATTTGTTCTGTGAATTTTCTACAGAAAATCTATAATCCTTTCTTGGCTTGCCACAAACCCTTACAAAGCTACTGGTCTCCTGCACTGCCCTGCTGCCATATGCCCAAGCAATTCAAATCTCGATAAATCAAAGCTAATTTCAGAAGAGACCTCTGCTCTCCACATCATCATTCAGAATACCCCAATGCCAAACAAAAACTTTTTAGGATGATCTCATTCTGGATAATTCACATTATGATTTTCCCCTATTAATATACAACAGCGATGAGAAATCTTTGGAGACAAGGAAGGCAAAAGCCAGCTAACCTTCTGATTTCAGGTAACACTTTAATTCAATTCAGCAAACGTTTACTAAGTGATACTGATTATACTGGGTGCTGGGGCTACAAACATGAAATAAGATCCAGCTCTCAATTTTGAGGAGTCCATAATCTAATTATTATGATTATTAATAATATTAATAGCTAATATATTAGGCTTGCTAAGAACTTTGAATATGTTATCTCATTCGATTTGATCAGCTAACCTACCTACTTACCATGTGACAAAATAGAAATGATAACTGCTTATAGCAAACTTTGAATGGCCAATGTCCTCATGGAAATATATCATGAAGATAGGACCTAAATATTAAATTCAATCAATTATTTTTGGTTATCTTTTTTACAGTGGCATTGTTCTGGCCACTGCTTCGAGAGGCCAGAAACTAATTTCCCCGGGGTAGCCGCCATGGTAAAGCTTCTGCGTAGTTAAGAAAAAAGAGCAGTCGAAAAGCTATGAACAGTGATTAATCTGCTAATTATTATTTCACAGGGCAGTGATAACAGATGATAACTTATCAGCCCAGTGAACAGTGGGATAGAACCAGAACTGTTAGCCTTCATTAACACTCTTCTAACAAGTACCTCAACCTCCCTCCCTCCATCTCCTCTACTTCTCCACCAAGCTCACAATCTCTGTGTGCTACCTTTTAAGTCTTTACTTAATCTTCCTTCTTCTTTAACTGGCTATTATTTGGAACTGCGGAGCATTATTTTATTTACTATCCACTCTGGTGTCAATAATCCCCAATAGGAAAAAAAAACTACTTCTGGTATAGAGAAACACTACTAACAACTGGTCTTTGAGTCCATCCTGTTTACTGTATACAGTTTCTTCTACGTCTGAAAGTGGGAGCATCAATGATTTCTTTTTTGACTTGGGAAATAATGATCTTAATCTATTTCTTTACCATTCTGTCCTTTAGCTAAAACGTTCCCGTCAAGTAGAGGCAAAGAGATTCCTAAGAAGACTCCTAAGAAAATTTAGGAAAGAAGCAACTGAAGGGATTCCTGAGACAAATCGAACAACTTTAGAAAACAATGATCAACTGTTTAAATGTCCATAGAAATCCTGCTTGTATGCCTCATCACCATATCAACATGGCGTCAGGTCCCAAACTGTCTGGACCAAGCTGGAACAATTGGAGATCTGGACCAGGGATGAGCTCTGTCAGAACATGACCAGTCTAGCAAGGTTACAAGAGGTTCATCTCCAGTAGTTGGTCTACTATGTAATGACTTTTTGGGGGGGAAAGGGGAAAGCCCACCACTTAGAAAGTCTATTTATTAAAGTGTGAAGGGGTAGGGATCTGCACCAGTGAAAAGAATATTCACACAAGTAAACTTGTGGATATTTGAAATACTGAACTAAAAATTTTAAATCCATTAATATCTGATCTCTTATTGACTACTGAGTCAAGTGCAAATTTCTTAGTCTGGAACTGGCAATTTTCCATCATCTATCACTCCTACACTATTCCCTCCAGGCATCCCATGCTCCAGTTTAAACTAGATTATTTGTCACACACACACACACACACACACACACACACACACACACACACACACACACACACACCCCTATACTTTCCTCCCTCCGTGCCTTTGCTTATGAGTTTCCAATAACTGGAATTCTATCCCTAAGGAGGAGTCAAGATACCAATCTTTATAGGTAATTTTCCAGGAATACCATGAACGTTAGGTCAACATTCGATAATGAGAACATAATGAACTTTTCTCTATGCTAATGCAAGACAGCAGAGATGTGAATAACAGAGCTGGCAATTCTAAAATGATTACTATTTATTCTCAGAACCAATTACATGACTTTTTTAAAGGAAAAGAAATAGACCACTATGTTGTTTTGGCCCACATTAAGAGTAGAGGGTATTCTCTGGGCATCCGTCAACAAAAGGCAGGGTGAGATGGCCCGGGATTATGCTGAGTGGCAGTGGGTGAAGGCCTTGGATTGTCCACAAAACGGTCACAGGGTCATTGAGGGGATCTGGGATTTAACTGGCATAACAAACTCTAACCCTCTAACATTACCGGTTGGATCCTTCTCTTTTATGCCAGGAGTACTGAGAGCAAGGTTAGGCTGTATCAGAAGCGGCACTTGAACTCAGCTCTTTCTGGTTCCAAGGTCAGTTCTTTCTGACAATCTCACCACACTTTCTCAAAATGGTCACAGAAAGATTTAAAGCTGAAGGAGACCTTAGAAAAACCACTGAGTTCAATCCCCTTGTTTTACAGACAAGGAAACCAAGGTCCAGAGGAGTTAAGTGACTTAGCCAACAATACACAAGTACTAAGCAGCAGAACTGAGATTTGGACCCACATCCTGACTCTGAATCTAAGCTTCTTCCCATAACCCCACATAGCCATGGAAATTTGGGGTAATTGATGGTAATCAATAAATCCAGAACCACAATGACCTCAAAGGCCTAACCACCTTACTCCACTGATGAGGAACTCAAGGATAGGAGCAGTGCCCAAGGTCCCATAGGCGGATAGCAGCAGAGCTGACGGTGACACCTAGTCCTGACTCCAGAGCCACAGCTCTTTCCGCCATATAATCGGTCCCCTTTCTTCTTATCATTTCAAGGTGCTGCCTTGTCCATTCTCACATACCTGGAAGGGAGTGAGCTGGTAATCTCTGGCCAGAGGGAAACAGCTTCAGAGAAACAACTTGACTTGCCCCGGATGTCAAAGGCAAAGGTTCGATGTGGATGGATGATCTCAGACACCTTCCCATGTGGACAAGGTGATTCCACTTCTGGAATCTATGCCTTAAAGCATTCTGCTTGCAATATTCTCCTTCTACTCAGAGGAATGGTGTAGGAGAAAAAAAACCACTGGGCTGGCTTAGCTCAGAAACAAGCTCTGTCTATCAAGCTTTCTGTGCATTATCCATAAAGGGATGGGGTTGAATGAGGTCAGAAGGGTCAAATAAATAGCCCTCCTCAACTCTTGAGGGCAGCCCAAACCAGATTAAAATGTAATTGGGAAATGTTTTCATGTACAATCATCTTTTTTTTTTCCTTTTCTACTGTACTATGTTATGGAATTAAAATATGGAAATAAAATATGGAAATAGAATGCTTGTTTTACTTCTTAAGCTCAGAATAAAATAAAAAAAATTTTTAAAAAGAAAAATAAACAAACAAAATAAAACAGAACACAGATAATGTTAAAATGTCATTTTCTATGTCAATATATGGCCCATGAAGATCCTTATGTACAATTTAATGGCCCCCTTTAGATGCCTCTGGACTTCGTGACCTCTAAGGTTCCTTTCAACTCTTCCACCAGCTCATCCTTGTGATGCCCTCTCTTGTGTCAGGAGTTGCATAACCCAAAGCCAGCTTCTTGTGTCCAAGTGGGTGGTTCCAACATTAATCTCTTCAAATACTATAGATTCAGGTTAGATTTTCCTTTTCCATTTCAAATTGATCTCCTGGAAAGTTAATGGATTCAATTAAATCCAACAAACATTTTCCAAACATCTACTGTACAAATGGCACTGTGTGAAGAGGAGGGGCTACAAAGGCAAAACCAAGAGGCCCTGCCCTCAGGAAGGTTACATTCCATTGGGGGAAATACAAAGGTAAATAAACGCCGAACAGATACAACATGAATAAAAAGGTAAGTTCGAAGCTGGGGGGAGTCCTAACATCTGAGGGAGGCTCAAATATAGGAAGGGGATCCTGAGCCATGCTTTAAGAGAAGTTAGGATTCTAGAAGGCAGAGATCAGGAGGGATTGCATTCCAGACTCTGGGAGATGGAAAGTTGACTGATAGAAGAGTGTAATAGGAATCAGAATAGAGACCGAACTCAGCACCTGCTAAGCCAAGCGTCTTCCTCTAGAAACCAGCTCCTCCCCCCTGTTGGTTTGCCAGTGTCTATTAGTGGTACCACTAACTTCCTCATCTCTGAGGTTCAAACTCCAAGGGCCATCTTGAACTCTATTCTCTCTTGCTGCCATGTTCGGAATTACCAAATCCCACTAAATTTGCATCCAGAATGCTCCCCATGTCCTGCTTTCTTCTTACCCCAACTTCACTGCCCCATTCAGGACCTTGTTTTCTATCACATGGGCTTTTTCAATAACCATCTACCTGGTATGCCTAACCCCATCTCTTCAAATCCAGCCTACTCTTCCAGATTCATTTTTTCCTAAAGCACTGTTCCAGTCACACCACTTTCCTGCTCAAAAATGTTCAACAACTTGCTGAGTGAGGCCCAATGGTGGGTAGTGGTCATATTATTGGCCTGTGCATACACCTCAAAGTATCTCCTCCATCACTAGATTGGGAGCTAGTAGATTTTGAGGAGATGAGTATCATGGGATCACAGATTTAAAGGCAGGAAGGACCTGAGGGGTCATCTAGTCCAAATCTCTTACTTTAAAGAGGAGGAGACTGAGGCCCAGAAAGTTGAAAACATTTACCCAAGATCACACAGGCAGTGAGCAGCATAGCTCATTTGAACTCAGGGCTTTGAAACTCATGACCTTTCATTCTTTCTACTGTAACATACTGGAGCAGGAAAGAATTCTAAGAGGAAGGGACAATATGAGAAAAGGCATAGAGGTCAAGAGAATGGGTATTGAGGGCATGCATTGTCTTTGACTTTTCTTTGAATCCCTAGTGCTTAGGACAGTGCCTGGCACACAGGTGATTAGTAAACGCTTGCCGACTGCCTGACTAATTTCATGGATATTCTGTAGGTTAGTGTCATAGTCATATATCTTGAATTTTTACTTTTTTTAAGTGCCTACTTAAAAAAAAAGAAAGGGCATTTTTTCTTTTATTTATAAATAAGTTCTTATTTTCTTTTAAAATTTCTATTTCCTAAGAATTCATTTCTTTCAGTTCCTGGCTTTATCATCAGAGAGGACAGACATCTATCCCTTTTAGGATCCTAGTATCAATTTCCAGCTAGCAAACGTCTAGCTTAGAGGTCATCTAGTTCAACCTCTTCATTTTGCCAATGAAAACACTGAGGCACAGAGAGTGGAGGACTTGTTTAAGTTAACCCAGCTAGTATGTGGCAGAGCTCGGATTCAAACCTGTTCCTCTATCTCTGAAACTAGTACTTTTCCCTCTATTGTGCCATGCTTTGGGCAGCGGGGTGGCGCCACAGTGCACAGAGCACAGGGTCTGGAACCAGGAAGACATCTTCATGAGTTCAAATCCGACCTCAGACACTAGCTGTGTGACCCTGGTCAAGTCACTTCACCCTGTTTGCCTCAGTTTCTTCATCTGTAAAATTAATTGGAGAAGGAAATAGCAAAGCGCTCCAGTATCTTTGCCAGGAAAATCCCCAATGGGGTCATGGACCAGACTGAAAAACGACTGAACAGAATGGCCAATGATTCTCCCTTTGTGTAAGGCCATACCATGAGGAAATTGCAGTGCGATCCAATGAAATAACCCAGCTGTGTCCCTACTTTGCCACCTAACTACTCCTCTGTGTTGGAGAGGAAGTGGGTTGGTTTAGTGAAGCCGTGTGAATGCCAGCGAAGCCAGATGCCTTGCATTTCTGAACTGAAGTGTCCACCATGTGTCCGTGAACGGAGAGACTGGAGACTGGGACGAATTTCATGGCTGCTAGGGCTGTCTATATGAGTGTGCTGCACTCACTAACTCAGGGATGGAAGCCTTCCACACATTCCTGTCTACCCTGCAGCAAGCCTTGCTTTACTCCGTAAACCTAATTTTCTTGGGTAAAGACATTGGCATCCTGTGATTTGACCCTGAGCACTGATCAATCATACTAAAAGCACTACTTCATGTGGTATTCAGTGCCCTTCTCCCCACGGCCCAGCCTGGCTAGAATTTGCACTCTTAGATTTATTTCCTGCAACTTCACATTATATTTAAACACAATTTGTTTAGCCAGTCCCTAATCAATGGGCACACACTTTGTTTCCAGTTGTATGTGTGTTTTGCCATCACAGCCAATCTCCTCCTCCTCCAGATATACCCATTCTCTTGACCTCTATGCCTTTTCTCATATTGTCCCTTCCTCTTAGAATTCTTTCCTGCTCCAATATGTTATAGTAGAAAGAATGAAAGGTCATGAGTTTCAAAGCCCTGAGTTCAAATGAGCTATGCTGCTCACTGCCTGTGTGATCTTGGGTAAATGTTTTCAACTTTCTGGGCCTCAGTTTCCTCCTCTTTAAAGTAAGAGATTTGGACTAGATGACCCCTAAGGTCCTTCCTGCCTTTAAATCTGTGATCCCATGATACTCATCTCCTCAAAATCTACACACTTCCAAAGCCCAGTGCAAATGCCATTCCCTGATCTCCCCTGCTAGATGTGATTTCTCCTTCCTCCGAACTCCAGGTCACTTGGTGTATCTCTTGGACACTTATGACCTACATCAGATGGTAGTTTTTTATATTTAGTTCTCATCTCCTGTGCTAAGCTGCTTGAAGGCAAGGAATGTGCTTCGTTTGTCTGTTTATCCCTCATACAGGCAACCCGGCCTACTGGACGCAGAGCAGGCCCCAGAGTCAGGAAGACCCAAGTCCAAGGCAGGAGCCTGTGACGTGTGCTGGCTGTTGGGTTTGGGCACAGTCACTTAACATCTCAGGGTTCAGAGGCAATTCTCTAAGGCCAGAAATTGTAAAGGCAGGATCCTTATGCCAATGAAGCCTGGCAAGTCAAACCACCACCACCTTAACCATCATCTCCCCTAGGACCCTGAACTTAAGAGCCCTGGGAATAGCAACAGTAGTTAATAACATTAAAAAAGGTATCAATATATGTTTTGCCATAACAGCACCTTAAGGACCATGGAAAATTTCCATCTGACTTGTAGCTGAAACCTTTCATATATTGCTGCCTCCCCTATCTCCTTGACAGCAGACTGTCTTAATTTTCTATTTGTATCTATTTGTATTTATATCTCCAAATATTCTATTTGTGTTGTGTATAATATTTTATTGTATATCTACTTGTATCTATCTTGTATTTGTATAGATTGGGATTTCAGTTGTATCCAATCTTTGTGACCCCATTTGGGGTTTTCTTGGCAAAGATACTGGAATGGTTTGCCATTTCCTTCTCCAGCTCATTTTACAGATAAGGAGACTGAGGCAAACAGAGGTTAAATGACTTGCCCAGGGTCACACAGCTAGGAGGTGTCTGAGGCCAGATTTGAACTCAGGAAGATGAGCCTTCCTGACTCCAGGCCCTGCACTCTACTGTACTACCTAGCTTTGCATATAGTAAATATTTAATAAATGCTTTATTCATTCATTCAAAAAATACGCATCTCTCATAGTGTCTTACACACAAAAAGGGTTTAATAATTGTTTGTTGAATGCATATATGATCTGAAAAAGCATTCAAAGCTAAGTTATAAAACCAAAATTATGGCTCCAATAAATAACTTCCCTCAATCACACCTAAACATTTTGTTCTCATTAGTCTTTGTAATGGCTACATTAAAGACATGTGCCTTGACAGAGGCCAGGGAAAATTCTGCAGGGAAGTTGGTTCTTCCAGGAAGACAAAACTTTTTGCAGATGCTAGGGAACAACGTCTAGTTATACAAACATTAAAACTCAAGAGAGCTAAGGGATGGGGCAACTGGAGTTGGACTGGAAACAGCCATGTTGAATGTGCTGATTCTTATCTTCAATAGCACTCAAGAAGGTCCTTGAGGGCCGGGATAGTTTTGTTCTTGCTTTTGTATCCTCGGAAACTAGCCCGGTAGGCTCATATTAAGTGTTTGTTGAATTGAGTTTAAGTCTTTAAAGAAAAAAGTTTTATTATTCATCCTTTTGTTTTTACTTTAATAAGTTCCCTCTCCCTCTTGCCATGGAAATCTCCCCTGCAGAAAGAAAAACAGTTAAGAAAAATAAACGGACACACTGGCTTAAGTCTCATGGCAAATACAACATTCCACACCCAAAATCCTCCTCCTCTTTACCCAGAGGTGGGAGGTGTGTTTCATCATTCATTTTCTAGAAACAGGATTGGTCATTACACCTGGGCTGCCTTGT